AAGGAAAATTCATTGGGTACACGACTGTTTAGAAAGGTGTTATGTCAACTTCCTAAGATGGTTACTGATGAGATATTGATTGCAAGATGTGAATTTACTGATTTTATAATAGGCGTTATTACTGTATTTATAGCTGACTTCTTATATACTTTAACATCTCCCTGTGTGATTATCTAAAGTGTTGTTTCAGGTTCCTTCTTTTTTCTTCTCTAGCTGCTTATGCATCTCTTAGACCAGGTTAGCTCTCTGACTAGTCCCTGCACTGGCTCTATGGTTTGACCCAATGCTGTCTTATAACTTTTTTTCAGAGTTCCAAGAAAACATATTTGAGCTTTGTTGAAAGCCTCCTCCAAACTGCTAGTCTTGTGGTTTTTCCCAGTTATTATTACAGAAGCACTCCAACAGTTTGATGTGTTTGAAGCATCTCTATCCTGAAGAAAACTTTGGGAGGATCCAACTACTAGGTGGTTTAATTAGTCTTTAACCCCAAGGCCTTTACTCCTAAGTGCTATTCTTAAGAGCCTTGTTTTAAAATGTGTTTAGGGAATTCCCTCTCAGCTGGAGCCTGGGCAGTGGCCAGACCTAGGCTCTACCTGGATGGAGAACTTGCCAATAAACTCAGATGTTTTAAGCATCAGAACTAGATTCAAGTCACTTCGACTTGGCAATTTGACCCCATGACAGCTGAACCTATTTTTAGAGTGAGTTTGGGAATTATTATCCAGAAATAATTATCCAAGCCCTCACTAAATTGAGGTTTGTCAGCTGTTCATGGACTCCGGGATGATGGTCCAGTAGTTCAGAGATTCCTAATTACCTAATTTCAGATTTATTATTAATTATGTTTATTATCTGAAATAGTCTTAATCGCTGTACCTGTTTAACACAGCAATCTATTCTGAGGGTAAAAAACACATGCACCTGTGTAAACAATAAGATTTGTCCCTTGAGAACCCACAAAGGAAAAATGTAAACATATATATAGAGAGAAAATTTGATATACATATACAATAGCCCTTACAGACCAATGAACTGAGTTTCACTATATTGCTGACCAGTTAGGTTTAACACAGTGCCTTCTGATATTTCCTATAAATATGAGCTTTGTGAATAAAGAATTTGCTTTCTGCATGAAAAAAATGGAGTCTCAGATGCGTTATTCCAACAATTATTGCAATATGCCATTGGAATTTGTAGATTATTTGAGGTCATCTTGTCTATAGCAGATGAGAGAATCTTGTGCATTTTAAGTACACATTGGTATATCTGTGGTCAAGGAAGAGTCAGGAACAGCATTAAACCTGAGTTTCCTGTGCCACTGCCATCATCTCCAAAAATGCAGGCTTCTCCTCAGAGAACTTGCAGGAGTTGTGAATCACAGTCACTTTTATTTTCATGTTGGCTGTAGGTTTAGTTGTACAATTTTCATCACAATTCATTCTTCATGTTAGATAGTTTACTTAGATAGTCTAAGCTACTATGATAAAAGGTAAAAATGAGTTAGAAATCCCAAAGGAGTCAGTGCTGTTGGTGTTTTCCTGGTCAGTGTGTGTGAAGTGAGTGTGTCATTGCTAAGGAGCATGCAGTGCTAGCAGAGGGAACTGCAGCTATGGGTACAGTGGAGTTATCTTTAGGTAGCAATGCAGGATGTAACCAGATTTATGTATTCTATCACCATCTGTCAAAACCAGGTGGGGCAATTTTCTTTAGCTCTTCCTTCACACCAATCCTTCCTCCAGGAGATATCCTCTGTTAATGGCCCATTGAGTCACACTGCATAACTGATAAAATTACATCAACTCATTGTGAGATGCTCCACCCAGGGGGAAGAGCCAAGCATTCTTACCTGGATAAAAATCTAAATTTTGGAACATCAGAGCAGCCTTTTTTCACTGGATTCCAGAGGAAAAACATACCCATCTATACCACCACTGGATCTTAAGAGGAAAACTACACCCTTCTACATGACCACTGCTTCAACAGAACCACATCTGTCACAGGAGGACTGCAGCCACCATTTATTTGGACTGCTACCAACACCCTGACTGACTGGGTGTCAGTTTGTATTCTGTCAGTGTTTTTTTTTTGTATTACTGAATTTTTATTTTAATTTTCCTAATAAAGAACTGTTATTCTTATTCCCATGTCTTTGTTTGAGAGCCCCTTAATTTCAAAATTATAATTTGGAGGGAGGGAGTTTGCATTTTCTATTTCAAGGGAGCCTTCCTTAGCAGACATCTGTCTTTCAAACCAAGACTGTGCAAAATCAAGATGCTCCTAGAAATGTATGAATTTAATATGGACACAGTGGAAATAGGCTAATGGTACTTTGATACAGCACTAGTATGAAATGTGGTATTTTTTACTAATGTCCCAAAAAAGTTTAAAGACCATAGCATCAGCTTAAGCTGGATTGAGACTGCCAAACCAATACTAGATTCTTTTGCTAGAAGTGTCAACTTTCTGTACTGTGATACCCAGCAGTCTACCCAGTTAGTTTTTCTCTGCAGTGAAGTTGATTATACTGAAAGTGGAAATTTGGCTCTAATAGTTCAGACTCATTTCTTAAAGCACAGCTCAGGAACTGAAGCCCACCCTGCCCTGGGCTGTGTAGGCAGATTGGTTTCCAAACACACCAAGGGACATTGGAACCAGTTACACTCAAAAGCCAGGGCTGGTTGTGGGATAGCCAAAAGGCAGCTGTGTTGTGACCATGTAATCACAAGGCTACGACAGAGACTGAAATATTACTCAAGCCATTTGGGAGCTTCTTAAATTTCCCTCTTCTCCACAGACTTGGGCTCTGCAGGCTTCCTATTTGTTTTATTGGTACAGCTTTACTGTTCAAAGGCAACATAACTTGGGAAAGAGTAGGGATCACATTATTTTTAGCACATAGTATGATAAATATACTTAAAAAAGAAAATCAGTCATGCAAACCAAGCATTTTCAAGAGTTATGTGGATTAGAATGACCCATGTAAAACTACATATTACTTGTTGAAAGAATCTGGAGCTAACAGACTGTCACCAATAGCATTGTGTGTCCCATAAGTCATGGTCAGATATTTAATCCTGAGATCAATGAGAATTAAATAAAATCTGCCAAATGTTTTCATTAAATACTCAAAAATTTTCAAGTAAAAATTAACTAGATTTTTTTAACATTTATTTTCTGCATGTAGTGCATTTAAAAATAAAGCCCATTTTCATTCTTTCAAATTGAAATACATTCTGGGACCCGCACAAAAACTGGCACCAGGGTACATCCAGCCCTGTGGGTCTAAGATAAGAGCTGATTAAGTTATTTTTAAATAGGAGACAGGGTTGAAGTTTGGGGAGTGTTGAAGAAACTCAATTCCCCTTTCTTTTTTTCCCTTAAATGTTGTACATTTTAAGCATTAAAAAAAATATTTATAATTCTAATGAAAATCAGTGATTACAGCTGTTCATCTTTATTTCAAAGAAATGAAGTAGTAAGGGTCACATGTTAAGACGTTTGGGTTTTTTGGGGTTTTTTTGGTACTACAGTCAGCACAACAAACACTATGGTTTGACATCCATCTGAAAATAAAGGCTATGCCTACTGCTAGCTGGAGGATCAGCTTTAGTCAAAGGTTTCTTGTAAAAAAAATGCCCAGATAAGCTTAAACTACCCAGGGAAGAAAGTGTAGGCTAATGTGGAAGTCATGACAAGTATTCTTGGCAAATTGTGATGTGTGCAGCAACAACTGCAGATTATAGAGAGCTGCTAAGAGGGACCTCGAAAGAAGCCTGCTGTACAGGTGCTAGATTTGGATTTAAGAAATAGGCTGTACAGTATCAAACTATATAAAAAGCTTAAAAACCACAATGAGAGTTTATTTTAAAATTTTTCTTCTATATTGTAAAAATTTTTAAATTAGGTCCAAACCACCATTAAAAAAGGTATGAAATGTGCAGTTTTGCAAGTGAAACAAGGGGCACAAGAAGGATTCCATGGGGGTTAATTAGAGTTGCTTTGTGATGTCTTTGTTTCCAGTACCTTCATATACTCAGTAATCACACAGACCTCAGAGCAGTTTCTCTTCAGGCAAGTAGGACATGAGCTAAAAGTATCATCACTGATTTCAGTAGGGAAGATTGGCTGCAACAAGGAGTAAAAAGCTATTTTAAGAGACAAATGTACAGTACACTCTATTTATGTAAATACTTGGAAAACTCAGGAACAAAATTGTTTCCTAAGTACAGAGCTGTGAAATCAGTGTGCCATATGGAGCTATAATATATGGCAGAATATTTTAAAATCCTAAACCTTCTTGAAAGAAAACTGTTGTAGAAGTCTGCATCTAGACTAAAATGACTACTCACTTGTGTTTTAACTGAAAGCTGCAAAGATATTCCAAATGTACTAAAATTAATATAACTTGCTATTGTTTAAAGGGAAGTAACCCTTTTCACTTATGTCTCACAAAGCATAGAGTGTGGAAATGGTAATTAAAGGCAAGTGAAACAGATGGCTGTAACATAATTCAGGAGTCTTAACTGGCACTTAACACTAACTGTACTTTCAATTTGACAAATACAATAAGACACCTATGTTGACATACACGTGGTGCACTTAACTACTTTTATTTATGCAAGTGAGGTATTAAAATTGTCTTGAAAAGCAGACACCTAAAGAAGAGAAAATGGTATGAAGAAGAGAATAGTAGCCATTGCTTTCAGTGTTCAATGATTAGTAGTTGTAGGGTTTTTTTCTTCCAATATCCTATCTTATAATTTCCATGCAAAGTCTCCATTTTACTCCTCCACTAGATAGGTAGCTTGGAAAGATTGGAGGAAAGCCACCACTTTTTCAGCAAAAATTAATTATGAAGACTGGTTTTGTTTTTTGAAATGAAGTAAAATAAGCTAAAAGTGTGTGCATCTCACACGCTGAGTATGGTACACTTTTAATATATACACTATCATTGTACACGAGCATTTTGTATGTACACTGATATCACCTTCAGCAGGAAGTTAAAAGTCAATAGATAATGAACCTTGTGCTGTATCTTCCCTTCCTCTGACATAAATTTCACATGGAATCTCCTCCATCACCCTGTCTTCTATCACCTGCTCAGGGCAGTCATGAGCTTGCTTGAAAGTGTAAGTGCTTTTCTTGAATGTGCTGTTAAATGTTTTCATGGGCTGGGGCTGTGCAAAGTCATTGCAGAAGGGCAGTTCCATGGAGCTCAGGTTGGTCCTGCTCTGTTTGATATTGGAGGCCTGGGAGCCACAGTGGTGGTCGTGAATGCATCTGGAAGCTGTTGATGGGCGGCGCAGTTTCTGATAGTTTTCAAGTTCCTCTGATAAATCTGCCAAATCTGCAGAAATTTCTTTGTCCCTTAGTGAGAACAGTTCATAGTGAGGAGGATCAAAAACTTCCTGGAAACCAGTTTTATTGAAGGCAGTCTTGCAAGCCATAACCTTTTTGCGAGGTTGTTTTACTTGCACTAGAATTGAAATGATGAGAAGAACTAAAACTATCCCTGTTGTGATGCCAATGATTGTCCCATGGGTTTTGGTGATTTGTTCAAACAATCCAGTTTTTTTCTTTTCTGCAGAGAAAAAATTATTATGACATTTATTAGTTTCTACACTTTTGGTAATTTTTTTAAACAAAGCAAAACTGTATTGTGATTGCCATGCAAGTGATAAAATTACTTAATGGGACTGGAGACTAGACCTGTATGTCAATGGGATTTGTCTAATTCCCTGTCATTAGTGGCTACATTATGATAATTGATAATTCAGTGGCAGGTGCAACTCTGTGAACCAGTGCTTACTGACTCAGCTGGGATGTGCCTTCCATCCTGAACCTCAACTGATGGTCTATATTCCTAAATCCATGAGCTAAATAGGCTTAAATTAACCTTAAATAGGTTAAATCCAGCTACAGATGATGTTTCTCTTACCATGGTTTGCTCCTGCTGGTAACATTACCAGTAATGTCAGTAGAAGAAAATGTAGATTTAAAATTGTCTAGTTCTTCTTTAAAAGTGAAATATTATCAGATATAAGAATGACTGCACTGTTTTGTTTTCACATCACTTGGATATGTAATGGCCGTGTCTGTTGTCTGTTATACCTAATTCATCACAGGGAGCTTTAGCAAAGCTCTATTCCAGTTCTAAGAGTCCAATGATGAAGTTACTTGAAAAAAGAAAAGGGGGGGATAATTGTCTTAGGTTGCAATATAGGATGTGACCAAAAGTATGTATTCTATCCCCATCTGGGGCAGTGACCTTATCTCCGTGGGAGATATTCTCTGCTAATGGGCCATCTGTTAAAACTGGGTGGGGCAGTCATCCTTATCTTCTCCACAAGCCATCCTTCCTCCAGCAAGATATTGGCTGTTAATGGGCCACTGAGTCCCACTGAATGACTGATAAAATTCCATCATCCCACTGAGTCCCACTGAATTACTGATAAAATTACATAATTCCATTGAGTCCCACTGAATGACTGATAATATTACATCACTACATCCCACTGGGAGATGCTCCACCCAGGGGAAGGAGCCAAGCCTTTCCTAGCTAGATAAAAACTGACATTTGGAACATCAGAGCAGCCTTTTCCCCACTGGATTCCAGAGGGAAACCTGACCTTCCCACGTCACCACTGGACCTTTGGAGGAAAACTGCACCTTCTACAGGAGCACTGCTCCAACTGAACCACATCTGTCACTGCAGGAAGATGCAGCCACCATTTAATGGGACTTCTACCAACACCCTGACTGACTGACAGGGTGTCAGGTTGGATTCTGACTCTGGCAGTGTTTTTGGGATTGTTCTCTGTAATACTGTATTTCTATTTTAATTTTCCTAGTAAAGAACTGTTATTCCTATTCCTATATCTTTGCCTGAGAGCCCCTTAATTTCAAAATTATAATAATTTGGAGGCAAGGGCTTTACACTCTCCATTTCAAAGAGAGGCTTCTGCCTTTCTTAGCAGGCACCTGTCTTTCAAACCAAGACAATAATACACCAACCAACCCAAATCATCTGGCAGTTCTGGCTAGTACTTCATGTGAAAACACACAAGGTGGCAGCATCAGAACAACATGGTTTTCCATATTTAAAATTCTCATTTGAAGATTAAAGTTTTCCAGTTGGATTTCTGTTCCATTAATGTTCTTGTCCTGGGGGACTGAGAGATTTCTACATTGCAACATTGGCTAGTGGGAGAAAAGCATTTAAGACTATGAAGAAGAAAATGTAGTAGCCTAAATCTTGCATAACATTTTCAAATATCTGGCTACTGGCATCTGTGTTATGTACCTAAATACCACACAGAGTGCATGGGGAGAGTTACACACCACCATGTGTTATTTGAAACAATCCTTATTCTAAGCAGAGACAAGGAGCTGGCTAATAAGAAATTACATTTCTGCTTCAGAGCTTGGACTGTTTCCTTTGAGCTACTTTTTACCTTTGAAGTGAAGGAGGGTATCTCCCCTTTGTCCTGCCTATCTTAGATCACAGTGGTGCCATCTGTGGTGGGAGGTATGAATTTCACTGCTATGACAGTTCTCTTGTCTGCACCTTGGTTTCTTAATTCTTGGCAGATATTTTAATCAAAAAGTTGTTTTGCAAAAGGCGGTGTCTTCTCCAGTCTCTTAAAATAAATTGCACACAACTGACTTCTCTATCAATTTTTGTGTTACAGGGCTTAGGCATAAGTAGGTCACAATATGCTCAGATTTATGTAGCTATTGATATGGACTAAATGAGAACTCTGGGTGCCTGCAGGAACTGAGCACGATTGTGAGCAGCTCTCTTTACAAGAATTGCTTATTTGGTCACACCAGTCTCCCTCAGCTGGCAGTGTGGATCTAGTCTTCAGCTGTCTCTTAATTTCTGCTGTGCAAGTATTACAGCAGAATTTAGACTGCATTCAACAAAAAACATGATGAGTTGTTCAACACCAGATACAGCAATTTACAAATATTGGGAAAGACACAGCTTCTATGGAATTAATTTTTTAAATACTGCAGTATATAAGTGAAGTGTGGATTCTAGAGGAGAGTCCATAAAGCAGTTGGTAAAGATGGGAAAGAGATCTAGAAATTAAACTTAAGAGAGAATGTTGAATATTATCAAAAGTAGGACTGTTTAAAGGAAGCTTAGTTTTACATTGCCAGCTTGGGAGGTATGGACCAGTTTTGTTGACTGGAAAATTTCCACAATGCATTAGAATATCTATTAATGGTGTGAATTTCTTTGTTTTCCCAAAATGAAATTAACAAGTAGGGTTTTTTAATGGTTATTTACTTAAAGAATTCAGGCAGGATTTGTGCATTGAAAATAAATTTTCTTTCAAGACTTTCTATAGAGAAGGTTTTGACCCTTTCTGCAGAGTTGGTTTCTCTTTGAAATGGAATACATATTTAAATCTTCTGGAGTTTTGTGTTCAGACCTATTGATGCCATTCTATTTGTCAAAAAACCCTAAGCAAACAAGCTCAAGAGTTTTTATTCTATTGTTTTCTTTAGCAAGAAAAATTGTTGACCTTAGACTGGTTTTGTTCTAAGTCTGACAACTGAGCTGTTCTTGAAGCATGGGAGAATGTCTGTGCTTTAACAGAATAACAATTTCTTCAAATTATGAGAATTTTTCTTACAAAGCCTGATAGTGAAACAAGTCTTTACTGTAGTTGCAATGCTTGAAATAATACTCCCAACCCATGCTCTAAAAGCAGCAATTCACATGTGTCTGTATTCAATAAGTGCTTATTTCATGCTCCCTAACAATTCCTCCTTCCTCCCATCCTTTCTCACACCATATGCAGCAGTTGAATTTATCCTGAAATAGCCTATGATTTACAACTCTAAACTAATGTTTTAAAATTGTCTTTGAGAATTGTTGCTTCTATTTCAACCCTGAGAGGCTTTCTGTGCTTGAAATTTTTTCTGTGTTTATTCAGCTCTTTATTTTTATCTCTAAAAAGTATAACCCATCTCTACAATCCTTGCTTTGTTAAAGTTTAGAAATGGATAGGATGAAGCCTCAAAAATACTAAACTCTAGTTCTTATCAAGCTGATATCCTTTGAAAATAGAGTATATGCTGAAGAGGACGAAATTTAGCTAAGAACAGTAAGATCAATATTCAGGATGCTTACATGTGTCCTGAGTTTAAAAAAAAATTTGGAACACCTTCCTGAGATTAGTAGAATAGCTGTCTTCAACATATTTCCATGAAAAATACATTTCATGACTTTCTTGAAAGGCAAACTGACCAGCCTAGCTCATAAAGGCTGTGGTTTGCACTATATTCACCTCTGCAGTGATTCTCATCCCAAGGGTATGCACAGTTCTGAATGCCATTGCAGACTAAAGAATTATTGATGCACATGTTGCTATGGCAGAAGTAAGTGTTGCCTGAGCAGGGAGCTGCAGGAGAGAAGAGAAAGAAAACATTCAGAATTTTCAGTAATTGATGCCTTGCAATAAAACTATTAAGTTCCTGTATCTGGGGTTTTTAACATGCATTCTTCCTCTCTGTTTCAAACACAATTGTTTCTCTTGCACGTCACTATCTGATGCTTTTCTCTCTCTTCATGTAATTGCTTTCAGCATATTATCAATGCTACAAAACCAATTCTTGCTCCAAAGGGGTAGGTAGCAAATAGAGACAGTCACAAAACACAGATAATGGAAATTTTAGTATATGTCTTTAAAAACTTAATACTTAAAAACTGCATGCTCTTTATTACTTATATATTTGTTCTGTGGAGCATCTGCTGTGTAGATATTGTGAAGCAGTTCCTGAACATCGCATTTTAGAGCCCATTAATATCTTAAGGCAAATCAGATTTTAGCTTGTGCATGACTGTTTCAGTAATTGCAAGAGATTTCAATAACTAGAGGCATCTAAGTCATTCCTGCTTATAAATCAAAAGCTCTTGGATCCTCCTATTAGAGCTAATGCAGGGATTGAGAGAGTACAGTTTAGCTTTTTATGTATCTATCTATATATAGTCAGAAATTTGAAGAAAGAAATTAACTAGAAGGCTGTCCCATGTTTTTGTATTTGTTACAGCTCCTTGACAAAAGAAAAAATATATTAGAAAGTAGGAATAATTCTTTTCAAGGTGTTGTATCATATACATAGGGAATTATTTATAAATTCAGGGCCTGGACAAGAAATTGGTTTTCCCTTTGTTTCAGTAATCTGGTATTTTTATGATGGAAATGTCTGTTATTAGTGGAGTCAGTTATATACTAAACAGCAAAGATGTGTGATAGACATTCTACTATTTGATTTCACAGAAAGAATGTGTTCTTGAGCAGCCTGGATTCTCTGAACATAACAGGAAACCCAAAGGGTAGAGCAGAGGGAATGACTGTTTCTGAACACTGCATTTGTCACTGAGTCATTCTGTTAGGCTTGAGAATCACAATGACAAAAAGAGGAGTTATGCCTAAGAAAAAAAGAACATTCAAACCTTTAATTTTGATTTTGCATTCCTAAATTACATATGCTTTGTCTTGCCATGGCTTACTCCACAGAAGTTGGGTAACCTACACTCATTGGTTTCAAGCTTTTGTGTTTGCTGTTACTGCTTAACCCCGGCAAGAAGTTCCATACAAGAACTTGCTTTAATTGTACTGCAAGTATGAATACAGAACATAGTTAGAGTTTTGGAACAGTTTATCTTTGTAATTTCAGTGCTTAAAAATGTCATGGTAGCTATCACATCCCTTCCTTGCTCAAGTGAATTGAGAATTTAATTGTTTGGAGAGTAGAAGAACACTGCTTTAAAACAGGATTACTCCTTTGGAGATCAGGCCCATCCTGTCAGTTATGCCATAATGTAAACATATTCCCTTTCTTTTTACAGTTCTGTGGTTTTGAATGATGCATTCTGCCATTGCTTCTCCATCTGCCAGCAGTCTCTATTTCACGTTTGTGTAGTCTAAGTTTTTGTGGGCATGGCTTTTGTTCAGAGTTCATGAAGATGGGACAAATGGACTTATCTTCCTTTTGTCTGTTATTTGGGGAGTTTGAAGTCTAAAAGTCCCAATGGTTGATCAATTCCAGCCTAGGACTTCAAGGACATAGCTGGACTATTCTCATAACAGCTGTCCAAAAGTGGTGCAATGCTCACAGTGCTCTTTGTATCCAGCATTACTCATCTATTGAATCAAGCCAGGAATCAAATACATTGATTTTTCACATTGCTGTTAGCTGAATTACTTAGTCAAATCTGCAAGCAGCGCTAGGTGTGTGTTAGGTGACTGTCATGCACTATTAGTTCATTTATGGAAATCCTTCCAGAAATATTGATCGTTTTCATGGTTGGCTTCATATAATTACAAATCATTAGCAAGGTAGAAGAGAAAGATATCTTAACAATCTGAAAATAAGATAAGCTCAGATTCACTTTTTTCAGTTAGAAAAATTGCTTATGACTAGATTATATAAAAATACTTGAAACACTTTTCAGCCACATACTTTTCAATAACCATATCCAAGTAAGGGTTATCTCAAGTAAATAACAATAACTACATACCTTTGCAGATGTTCTTTTGCCAGCGATTTCTGAGTTGCTTTAAACTCATAAATTTGGAAAGTTATCTACCTTTAGGAGTATTTAGTGTTTCAACCTCTTGCTTAAAAAAATCCCCACAACACCCCCCAAAAAATCCAAACTCAACAACAACAAAAAACTCACTCCAATATTTATAATTTAAATAGATAATTTCCCTGGCAAAGTTCATAGCATTTTCTAAATTGAAAGCTGGAATAACTTGCACTATCATCAATGTTAATAACTGTATTGAAATAAAAGCTAGTGGAAAAGCAGTTACAATTTTTGCAACCACCTGTTGTGGTGTCTGGCAGGGAGCTGGGAGCTAGTGGGAGAGCACACTTCAGTCCCACTACTGTCTTTTTAAAGTAAGTCTGTCCTCATTTGTAGAGAAGGCTGTCTCTTTGTGAGAAGGATGTAGCCTAGGGCAGTACTACTGAATTCAAATGGAAAATACACCTTTTAAAAACGGAGGAAAGCTTTTCTTCAGGAACCATGTAGAAATGTAATAAAGCAATTATCTTAATTTACCTGCTAGTGTGTGAAGGAAATAGAAACAACCTTTCATATGTATTCCTGCTGTTTAATAGAGTGATGCTTTCCCCAAAATACTTGAAGTATCCTGACACCAGGAGATTTGGCACTTTTAGATCTACTTACGATCCACAAAGGAGGTGAAGAGCATTCTGAACCTGCTCAGTCTGCTGCCTTCATCTGCCCACATCCTCACCACGCCTGTCCCCGTCTGCAGCGTGACATCGTTGGCCACCGTGCTGCAGAACTTGGCCTTCAGGTTTTCAATGGAACTGCTCCCATCATACACAGCAACAAAGTTCCTTTTGCATTCATTGGAATGCTCCATCTGATAGTCCAGAAATCGCATATAGATCTGTTAGAAAAGAGGAATCAATGTCTTTAGGAGAAGAAATACAGAGAGCAGAGTTTTCTTTCTTAGCAAAACTTGAATAAGATGGTTTCTTCCCTCAGACATAAGTATAATTCCCAATTCACAACTTTTAAACTTAGATTTTCTCATTAAATGTCTGTGTGGAGTATTACCTGACATTTGTCTTGGGTACCCATTTCACTTCTCCCTGCTCCCCAAAACAAATCATTTAAAAATTTGCTTTGATTTATTTCTGCTCCCTTTGGAAAAACAGTACAAAGCAACGCACTTGGTGAAGAAACCTCCAAGAAGTTCTGCTAAATGTGAAGTCTGTTTCTCTAGAAGAGATATAAGGGATGCATAAATGTACTGAAATAATTTTTAAAGTATTTTGACTGTTCTCTTTCCTTTCTTTCTAATTCATAGAAACAATGTTAAAATATAGGGGAAAGAGCCTAGTCAGAAAAGCTCTGAAGTAAAATAAGGAAATTAAAATTTATTGCTTCAGAATGAAAGCTAATTACTGAACCATAGCTGTGTTATGGAAGACACAAACCATGAAGTCAGGAGTAATTTGAATAAAAATGGAAACGAGAGAGAAATAAGCTGGCTGTGTAGGACGAATTAATGAATTTAAGCTGATCTTAATACTTCTAAAAGCAGAAATCTAATCCAAGAGAAGGCTGCGTATGTGTTAGAACACATGCAGCAAGGAAATTAGAAGATTGGGGTGGTATTTAAAGAGTAAGTAAATAATTTATTTTGCTGGAGCAGGAAATCCATGAAAGATTGTAATTCAGTTAAAATTACATGAACACATCAAAAAGCTTTTGAATCTCTTCAATGGCTATATTGGAATTTTCAAAATTCTTCTGAAAAATTTGAGATATGAAACCAAGTCACCTAAGCATGCTACAAAGGCCATTTTAGACGTTAACAGTTCTTAGGTAGCCAGTAGCCATTGTGCTGCCAGAGAAGAGATGTGCCCAGGTGCAGGCAGGGAGGTCAGGGCAGATCAATCCCATGCTCGGGCTCTATAACCCAGTGTGCTGCCTCTTTGCCATAGCTTGCTACCAAGCACCTCTGAGAGACACAAGATAGTCCCCTCCCCATTCCTAAACCTACCAGGCTTTACTGAAAACACGGTAAAAGAGAAAGACAAGTCACACTTGTACCCCCAGCTTTTCCTTCCCAGTGCTGTGGAAGCAGGCTGGCCAGCACTGCCTTCCCTTGCACGTTCTGCCTGAAGGTGCAGCCTGGGCCACAGTAGCTTCACCTCACTGTTTTGTGATTTTATGTATTTTTTTTAATTTTTTCTATTTTCTTTTTATCCCCCCTGCTGTTTTTATTAGATTTACTGCTGGAAATTCTCAGCTACATTGAGAACCTGTTCTCCATAGTGACTTATCTCAAAAACATGGATGTGAGCTGCAATTGCTAGTATTTGGGCTGAGATAGGGTATTTTCTTTTAATGATTGACTTTATATATCTGCTGCAAAATTACAATGGAAACTAAAAATAATTTAGCACACTTTTAGTAGAGCTATTGTTTGTAAGATAACAAAGGAATAATCCCATTAAAAGTGCTCACCTCTTCACAAGCTCCTTTGGATTAATGTGTTAGGCAAGTATAAAAGGTCCTTACTTTTACATTATATTGATTATTCTGGTAATTTTATGAAATCTGGAGGTAATTTATTAAGTGTCTGCTATACACATTTTAAAAGTACTTTCATTCTTGCACTTGTGTCAGTTTTAAAAGTTTATTTTTATTACAAAATCAAATTGAGAAAATTAAAAATGTCTATGCTTATTTTTCTCAAAAGACTGCACTGTATCAGATCTAATGGATTTTATCATCATAATTCTGCCTGAATTGAAGCTTGAGAAACCACTGTCAGAATACTAAGAATTATTTTTCTGTAATGTTTTAAATCAATAATTTAGGATGATGATCTAATTCCAGGACTCACCCAGCTATAACTCTGCCTTCTGGCAACATTCAATAATTTATTAAAATACTTAAGCACAAGACCTGGTGCACTCAAGTGGCAATGTAGAGAGAAAATGGGTTTGTTATTGTTTCTGGAAGAACTGTGTCTATTACTTAGACTAGTATAGGGCTCTTGGGAATTGACTCACTTCCTCAAAGGCTCAAAGATATTAATAGACTTTTAATTTCTTTCTTGTCTTGTCCTCTTATTATCATCTTTTTGGTGACTGTTTTAGAATGCACTTGCTAGGTGGTTAACAGGGCTGGTTAGTTAACTGTTAGGAGTGTGTTAAGAAGGCAGAGGGAAGGTTTGTCATCTTGGCAGCTACTGCTTCAAAATAGTTTTTAATTTTTATGTATGTGCAAGCAGAAGCAAAATTAAAGATGTGTATGCTATATGGAGAAAAGTATGTGTTCTTATGTGCAACTTATTTAACAAATATGATTCTGCAGCAAATATCATTCAGGCTTTAGCTATTGTATTTTGGGGTTGTGAATAGGATTTTATCCTGCTGTCTGCCTAACCAGGTAAAGCCTTTCCATTTAGCTCAGACTGCTGATGAAAGTGGGTTTTAAGGTGCTGGATTGTGAATTAGATGGGATAAGCAGGCACATGTTCTGTTGACTTTGAACCAAATTCTCCCAACAGAACCACTGGAGGCAAAACATTAAGCTTTGGCAGTGAGATTTACTGGAAATTACTGAAGATGTCAGCCAGCATTTTTGCCTGCAGTCTTCCAATAAAACCAGGGTCCAAGTCAAATGCCCCTGAAAACTGTTGCTTCAACAGTTCTCACAGTTATTTGGTATTTGAAGCTTCCAATAAAAGGAAGCCAGCATTATGGACTTGTATAAGTTTAATTCCAGAAACTATTCTCTCTCTGGATTTCCATTTCAGTGAAGTACAACATTATGCAAATCACAGTTAGTGACCATTACCTGTTGCTACTGTCATGGAAACCCTTTATATACTGAATTATATGAACAGAACCCACCTTAGCATTTGGAGTGGCTTTAATTGTCCAGATACAGTCAACTGCTTGTCCTGGTTTTGTTTTTCCTTCTTGTTCTACTTGACTGGAACGTACTATTCCATCAGCTCCTGAAAGCTCAAACTGGCAGTCTAGGGAGAAGATAGACCTTTGCTGTCAAATGGAATATGACATTAATTTAAAATTTCACGTATAAAGAAATTGTTACTGTAATACTATACCTGGGATGGGATTTAAAATGCCTCCTAGGTAAGTGAAGTCAGGATCTGTAATAGAAAGAAGTCATGAATCACAAGGGCTATCAGTGCTTGAGAATCACTTCAAGCTTTAGTATTATCTGCAGATTATATCCATTTTTTATTATATCATAAAAAAATTGCCAGAAAGTTTACTGAATCAGTTGGAGAATATAGAGACAAAGTTTTCTTAGATGAGAACATTATTCCACAAAGATTGACCTTATCTGAAAAAGGTAATTCTTCCTGACAGCTCAGATTTCTAGCATAACACCAAAAATTACTATTCAGTATTTTGTTCCTAAATTATATTTTAAATTTAACTATGTCAGTTTTCACTGAAACCACTGGAGCTCCACAAGAATACAGGGGATCTTTCTGTGTGCAAAAAACTTATTTAGATTTATTTTATCAGACTGCTGTCTATGTAGTTCTGAACAATTTGAACTGAGTTTAGCAGAATATATCAACACTTTGAAATTGCTAACTGCTCTTAAAAAAATATGTGAAGAAGGCTGTTTCAATCCTAAAGGTACTTTTCCCTGGGTTGTCTGTGTCTCTTGTATTCGGCCACACAGAACATTTCTAGGCATGGCTTATGAAATGTTGTTCCCTGCAAAGAAAGCACTAGTTCATGCAAAAGTGCACACTTGTTTGGTACAAAGTTATTTTTCAAATGAAGGTCCAGAGTTTGGCTCCTTCTGTGATCCCATAAATTACTTTTTCTGTATAGGAAGTTTATCACTTCCCCTAGAATGCCTCAGTCCTGTGCTTAAGGCTCAGCACAGTTCAGAACAAGCCTTCCTTCCCTTCCTCTTTTTATTTACCTGTAATGAAAATCTATGATCGCTATATGCAAAATTCTGCAACCTCCTTTGTAAGCTGATTTCTTTATGAAGCAGGAGTATGTGCATATGCTCCCTTTCATTTTTGCAACAGTAAAATATTTTACCACGCTTCATATAAACGAAGAGGAAGGAAAAGAAAAATATCAGTGCTTCAGTTGTTGCAATCTGTTGTGAAAATAATATAAAATTTAAATGTATATTTAAAGTTCCAACCTGCAACTATGGTAATCTAGTTTTGAAAGTGATGTTGATGAAATGACTTTGGAAATGGACTTAGTAAAATGTGTAAGTACTGTCCCTGTGAAAACATTTTATCATATAATTTCCAATGCTCTGGTCACCATGTTAATCTGAAGCTTCCGAGTCTACATCCCTAAGCAGTAATGTATAATCACGAATTGTGTTCTCATGTGCTCTAGGGGTACAGATAACGTTAAGAAGTTATGTTTGTGTGTACATTTATCGAAGTAGTAGAGCTGACACTTGTATATTGCCTTTTGTCCCGAAGGACAATAAAATGCTGATAACTACACGTGTAGTATCTATGAAATACAACAGTCAAGCATTGCACAAGGACATCAGGTCAAATTTTCATGTAAGAAGGATGCCCTGCCAGGTTTAAGTAGCTCCACAGAGCAGATGTAATTTTTGTTTGTCTAAAGGCACTGTCAGCACATTGTCCTCTCCTTTGCACCTGTGAACTACACAGCACTTTGAGCAAAGAGCAGCTCTGCTGTCTGAGCCCAAGGGTTGAGGGAATCCAGTTAGAGTTCGTGCTTAGACTGTGCAGATGTTTGCTCTGGGTTTTCAGAATGGAGATTTAAAATGCTTTGCATCTGGCTGGAGTGCTATTGTGAAGTTGCTCCAGGTGTTTTTGTCCAGTGCCTTACACTCCTGGAAGAGAGGCTGGTGAATAGACAGCTCTTAGCATAATTTGTCTTTCCTTTCCCTACCACTGGTGAAACTGGTACGAGTAGAGAAATAAAGAGGGGTGCTGCTGGAGACTTCAGCGTAAACAAGCTCATCTGTCTTCCTCACTAGCAAACTACAGACCTGTAATTCCCTTCAGTCAAGATTCCCCAGGTGTTTTTAGCCATGTTCCGTGTAGGATTAGTAGGACTGAGACTGTGGCTATCACATTGTCACTGTGCCTCTCTAAGTGCTCATGCAGCTCTAGGCTGGGAGGACACACACCCCCACAGAGTTCAATAGGAGCAGACAGTCATTAACTCAGAATTTTAGACATCTTTACCTGGTATAAATGAGTACTTTGCTTGAAATCCCTTTCCTTCCAGCTCCTCATCAGAAATAAACTTGATCCACATAAATCTCCCTGTTGATCTAATTAGTGAAGGACTTTTCAGACCACAGTAACGATTAATGAGAGGGGAGAATCCAAAAGGTCCATCTCGAACCTCCAGGTGATCAAACCGACATTCAAATGAGGGTTCTATGTAATAGGGCTCATCAAAGGTCAACTCAATTCTTTGTCGTGGAGCAGCTAGACACAAAAAAAATTGAGCAAAAGATTAAAGGAAGATCTTGATAAAAAACACAAAGACATGAAGTAATGAAGAGACAGGTCTCTAAAACAGCAAGGTAAAAAAGAAACTGGAAATTTCTCAAAACACATTCACAGTCTGCTACAAAAATTTTTCAACTTTTTCTCTAAAGGATACTTTTGTATAGAATCATACAAATTTTTTTGCTTGCTGATCTTAATTGTTGAAAATTCAGAAATCCCATTAATTTAATGCAATACATATAACAGATATGAACATATATGCAAAGGTATTCAAACAAGGTAAATATTAAGATACAAATGAAAACAAGTTTTCTGTGAAAGCAAAATATATAGAAAAGGACAAAACACTGAGCTATACAGAAAAGAATGGAAATGAGAAAGGTATTTCTCAAACGTAAAGTCCAAATTTGTAGATCCTTTCACAGAAGATACATTTTATTAGAATATCAGAGAAGTGCAAGTGCTTCATGCATGTCAGTAATATGCAGGTGGCTACAGATGTTGGTGAGTCTGAGGCTGTGGCAGCCTAACAGCAGGATTTGGATCAGAGCCCTAAACGCTGACTCTCACATCTGTGGTTTGGATCCCAAGCCTCTGTCGTGTATGAATGGCTTTAGTGTTCCTGGCTCTTGGCTTTAGTGTTCCTGGCTCTTGGCAGCGGCTGCGCTACGTGAACTTCCCGCTCGTGGCGGGGATGTGGAGCGGCAGCGCTGAGCAATCCCACTGCCCGCTTTCCCTGAATGCCCACGGGATTTACTCCTGTCACACCTCCCGCCTCACTCACACGAGCTACACGCCGGGAATGTTGGCATGGTCCGCATGAAGGAGCAGATCTTGGCTCCACAGTGATGCCGAGGAAGGAGTGAGGAGAGCTGGAAGCTGCTCCTGTGCCCCAGCCCTGCAGCACGACAGGCTGGCTGCTCCCCGGGAAACTCCTGGGCAGGCAAAGTGCAAAACCATGAGCATGGGAACAGGAAAAAAGGAGGGGCCTGTGAACCACTACTGTGCTGTACAAATAAAAACTCACCAAACCTCATTACTTGAAATATTTCAATTAATTGATATGAATCTGATGATTAGGCTAATATTTTTAGCTGACTTCAGTGGGTTTTGGGTGCATTCTAATAAGAGGAAAAATAATTGGAGTGTCTCAAGTCTTGCAGCATTTATTTAAGATATTCTCATTGGAATATGGTTTTATTCTAGTTAATGACATTTTTTTGTCCTCACCACATTATTTTAATAGTGACCTCAGCAATGCTAACAAATCTCTGTATTTTTAGCACAGTGCTATGGCAGCCAGATATATCTTTTTTGTTAATGAAGGACAGCATAAAGGTTTTCTGCTGGTGAGATAAGAGCAATACAGCATGGTATGAAATAGCCTTCCTCTTTTGCTATCTATTATCAGTGATATTAAGGTAACAAGCTACAATTTTTGTCTTACTAATTCCATACCTTCATAGATTACTACAGTAGATATGCTGCTCCTTTTCCTGGCTGTGAGGAAATGTCATGTTCTACATAGTTAATTTCTTAATGCTTGCATTTCTTATTTATTTGTTGTTAATACTTGAGAGAGAAAATTTAGCTTCTTGTTCAAGTAAATGACTGCAGAATTCATTATATTACCATTACAGCCATGCAACACTTCATAGCAGTATGACAGTTTCAACAGTCCAAGATTTTCCATTTGCCAGTAATATCACAGCAAAACAAAACAGAAATACAGCATGTACCTTCTAAGATATAGATGCACTCTTGATTGGGTGGGTACATGTTTGGGTAGTTTGGTGAAGCAAAATGTCCCCCATTACTGGTCCGGACCCAGTTGTCACACTGGGTGGGAGGAATGCGATTCACTCCAATATTTTGCCCACCTTAAGGAAGAAGAAAAAAAAAAGTAAAAAAAAAAAAGTGTGATCAACTAAGTTTCTTCTGCAAGCATGCAGATTTGATAATGTAAAACTCTGGCATGACACACAGCCTATAAAGAAGAAAGTAATTTATTTTGGTTGAAACCCCTCTTGTAAGGAACTCATTAATATTTATCTAAGAAAATTTTATGTGTAATTTTGTGGTGGGGTATATCTTAGAGAAATCATAATTTTTGAATATCAAATATATCCAGAGATTCATGGAAAGGAGAGGGAGTAAATTTTTTTTCTTTTTTTACCCAACTCAGTTCAGGTTTTTGATACTCTTCTTTCTAAGTGAAATAGTCACAGTGGCTGCCAATACCATTATTTTATGGGTTATGGCATCTCTGTTCCTATGTAAATATAATCGGAAATATTTGTCAGCTTTCACTGTTTTGACCCTGATTCTGGAATATGCTACAGTGGGATGTCTATTTACAGTAATTTGTTGGAATACAGAATGTTTGTATGCAAATACACTAATTACAGCAATGGTAGTTAAAATTCCTGGTAATAGGTAAATTGCCCTGGTAGCTAAGGGTCTCATTTAGAATCAAATCTCCCCTTCTGGATGTACAGGGAAATGTGTTCTGTGACTGAGATAATGCAGTTTAGTAAGGTAATTCTTCATGCTGATTATTCACAGGAGCTTGGTTCAGATTTCCTTATCCATGGAGAAGAGACTGGGAATAGTGTGATCTCTGACATTCTTAAATACCTTTGGCCCTCCCCCCTGGTATCAGCAGAACTGGAGAGTGTAAGACACAGGATATGTATTTTCTGCTAGATATTTCCTAAATTTCACAGGGTACTCTCATAGTATTATTTATATTTACACAGTTTTAATTTTGTGACCTGTGAGAGGACATCCACGCTGGTACACGTCTCAGATGCCTCCAGTAACTTACATCATCTTCCATTGGTATCTTGACAGTTTTTTGATTTATGGGGGTGAAAACTCTCTCTCCTGCAGAAATTTTTCAAGGAAATTCTGTAGGTGGCAGTTCAAGGAATTCTTCTCTCTTAAGAGTGGGTAATCCCACATATGAAAAAATAATGTTTGTGAAATTGACTCCTTCCCCACTCAGCAGGCTTCAAAAATGTTTGTGGGTGGACTATTTGAAAAGCTTGCTGTCAGATAAAGAAAACATGAATTTCCGTGGTGGTTTCTTTCCCACCTCTAACATCTAAAACTGTAGAACTTTACCTGGGAAAGTGAAACTTCCATGTTCTTTGTGACTGTATGGCTTTGTTCATTTGGGAGAAAATGCAGCAAATGGGGGAAAATGGAAAATACTACAATTTCACATAGCTATGAATATCTGAAGGTAAACATTTATTTTCACTTATATTGCTCAATTAAAAGTCATAAAACTGTTTCATTTTCTGAGAGAAAATCATCAAACTAAAATTGTACCTTGTGTCTTCTGTGCAACGGCAATGCCTTCCACTACCAGGATTGTTACAAGCAACACTGATGAGAGAAATTGGACAGGAAAAACATCAGTAATTCTTCAAAGTTACAGATCATTTTCTGCAGTCCCAGTTTATGTAAATCCTGGCATCACTGACCAAAACAACTCAGAACATACAAAAATATGTAATTAATTTATATGTTTTCTTTAAAAATTCAGCTTATGAAACCAGTGCAGTTTATATGCACTGCTGGTCCTCCTTCCAGGTTCCTCAAGAAAGTGCATATGAGAACATCAATTCATTGTTTGAGGGGACTTTTAAGAATACTTTCTAGAGTTTACATAGTATCTGTTGTCTATAAAACTTTTATATCCTGAAACAAGATGTTTCACTGCTATAATGAATCATATTTATCCTAAGATTCTATTTGCATAATGTGTGCAAAACAACTTCTCCAGCTTCCAAGAAATTAATCTGGACCACAGGAGACACTGCATGGTCTTAACCCCTCCACAGATTTCACAGTTTTGTGCTTGCAAGACTGGTTGTTGTGATGCTGCCACACAATACCAGTGATTCCTGCAAACAATGGAGCAGTAGAAAATGGGCAGATGCCAAGTTCTGGAGATGGAGAGCCTCCCTCTTTGGTTCCTTCCTGGCTGTTTTACTTTTGGCCTTTCCCTGGCATTTAAACATTCCCTGCACTCAAGAAGCATCCATAAGAACAGCACATATGAAAAACTCCATATTCCACAGTCCATCAGCAATTTTAAAGCAGCTTTAGTGTTCAGAATTTCCTAAAATGCTTTGTCAACTTTGTCACTTCAAATTGCTTGGGATCACCGGGAAGTGGAAAGAGAATGAAATAGAGGACAACTCTTCAAATCTTTGCTTCCATCTGGAGTATCCTGGAAATTCTGGACACATCTCTTACAGAACTAGCTAAGCAGGCCTGGACTGCCCTGGACAGAAGGCAGCCAAGGGGAGATAGGATCAAAGTTACAAAATCACAAATATCATTTTGATTGAGAACTGAGCAACTACTACTTGTCTGTTCCAGTAAAGAACCAGGGGATGTCACACAAAGTGAGCAGGTGGCGTGTTCAAATTAAACAATGACTTTTCTTTCTTTTTTTTTTTTTTTTTTTTAAATGCACATAATTCCTAACACATCCTTGAGGTTGAAAATTCTTAAGCCATAAACTGTTGGAAGTCTGGGATGTATTTGGGGCAAATATAATTTGTTCTACTTTTATACTTGTTCTGCTTTTGTACCTCTGTGAAAGAAGATACCGAGTAAGATGGACCTTTGCTGTGACCTGGTATGGCCCTTCTCGAGTTCTTAATCTACTCGTCAGGCAGGCATGGCCTTAGCACTGCAGGGCAAAAAAGAGATTGCAGCAGGAATTCTATTGTCACATTCAAGAAATCAGTTTTATTTTCCCAGCCTTCCTGCCTTGTTGCTCAGGCATTTCAGTGGCTCAGCTGAAATGGCGTTTTTTCCATTTGTGGTTTTCCCAGTGTGGCTGTTGGACTTTGAGCCCTTTAGAGTTCCAGAGTGAGCACACACTGACTGTGAACCACAGTGATCTTGACTCAACTCATCCAGATGTTCCTCTAATGCTGCCATGGATATATTGTCTTGGGGAAAGATAAAAGGAATCAAAGTCTGCCCCTGAAGTGTCCATCTAGCATTTATGTTTTATTATGTATGTTTCTGCTGCCCTTTCTTCTCTCTACCAATATTGAAGCAGACCGTGTTTCATTCTGAAACTTTCCTCACCAACAACTCTTTTTTCCTATGTAAGTCAGGTTCATAACTGTGGGTGTTTTCTAAAATACCATATGGGTCTTTCAAACAAGTGCTATGTTCTTAGAAGCTTATTTGATTTTTAGGGATGGATTATGTTAGAGTAGGTGAACATTTAAGTAGTTTTTCAATTTCCATTTTTGCAATAATTCTGCATTTTCATCAATATTAATATACTTAAAAATATACTATCTGTCATTATCCAAATACAAAGCAGATGCTGCTAATCATTTACTGACTCACCCTAGACTGAAAATTCCTCCTTCAGAAGAAAGTATCTAGCACCCATTATTGGTATTCAGTTATGCATGTTCACTAATCTTTAAAGCAAATAAACAAATATCCCATCTTTATTAACAAATGATTGATGCTAGATGTCAGCTGGTTTTAGTTTTTACCATTCCTTGCATAGATTGCATTATTTCAAAATTATTTACAGTTTATTTTTGCAGCTTCTCTGTTTCAACTGTACACTGAAAAATCTGTTTATGAGTTGCAGGAACTTACAATGCATTTGTACTCCTGAGATCACTAGTCCTTAACAGAGAATCTTGACAGTGGTTATAAAGTTGTCAATCTCTTTTTTTTTCTACACTGGTTTTGGCACAACACTTCAAAGTTGGCTTTTATTGTTAAAGTAAAGGCAGTTTCCCCAGTCCTGTGTAAATCATATGTCAGTGTGTTCTATTGAATTCACCTTTCCTAAAGATGTGCTATGTACACCCTCTGTTTGGCAAGGACAGGGCAAGCTCTTTGTAACTTAGGCTGCTTCTCAAAATACAAAAGGAGCTTTGACTTTTTTCTTAAAGCAAACATACAGAGAAATGAGTGAAATTAACATATGACTAACAAAATGAATGCAAATAGTCACTTTCAAGTAACAGTGAAAAATTGAGGGTTTGTTGGTTTGCTTTGGTTTTTATTTAGTACAGCTCTTTACTATGGCTGCCACTGTTACAATACACTTAAAAAAATTCAGTATGCATCTATGTTTATTTCAGTGATTGTACTGAGGGAAACAACATAAGAATAGATGTTCTGTTCTACTAACCATTGATTTCCCTTCTTGCTGATGTGGATATGGAAACAACTCCCCTAAAAGGACTTCAGAAAGCCTGATTGGCTTTCACTAGAGCTGTGCCATTTCTATAAATAGTCCAGAGCCTGTATATGTGTAAATGCAAACAAACAGTGCCTATTCCTTGCAGAGCAGCATGGATAGGGAAGCAACTGCAGAAGACAGGGGTTGAATATTTGCCTTACTGTCTTCCTTTTGCCATGTTATATGGATGACTGGGAACAGTATGGGCCACCTTCTCTTTGTTCCCTGCCCTTTTCATCCTCTTCAGTTGTAATCTCTCACACCTCTTCCTTGCCCTTCTCTGGCAATGCCCATCCTTCTCATGCTCTCAACAACCCTTAAGATGTATTCAGAGTAGCCCAGGTAGCAAACGTTCCAGGGTGTTCCTTTGGCACTACTTTTATCCTGGGTGACAATATTATAAAGAAAAGAGGTGTCTCTGCTAATGGTCTGGATGTGTGCTGTCCTTATCAGTGTGACATTGCTGGTGAAAAGGTGGAGAGGACTTACCTGCTCTGCCTGAGAGTACTGAGCTGGACTGCCTGAGGTAATATTGCCCTAAACTGAGTGCACTGGCATGACACAGTATAATGTGGGAAAGCAAACAGGCATTTAGGGGCTGAGAACAAGGCCTATCACTATTCAGGATGAAAAGGAAAAGATAATCAGTCACTGTATTTTTAGACCTTTCAGACATTTTCCATTAACCCATTTTTGTGTGCATTTTAAAAACAACAAAGCAATCTCCCGGTGTCCTAAATTCATACTACTTCCTAGAAAAATAATTTTGAATCTCAAAGACTAATTTGGAGAGTACAAATCGGTAAGAAGGAAGATGTCTAGAGAAGAGACAAATCCTGGAAGTTGGTGCAGTAGTAGAAAGCTAGTGCTGAACCACTGTCCTGGTACTGCAGCAGGGACATGGTCACATGAGAGACTGAACCACTTTCACTAACAGCCTTGTAAGCACTTCCAGAAGGATGAAGAATGATCTTGTTATTTCTAATAAATTGCAATTCAAATAGTTATTATGAAGCTGAACTTAGAAGGGACACAGTATTCCTCTGCTCCCTTTTTCCTCTTTTAAGGTCTCTTACAGATCTCTCTGACATGACTGTTCTTCAGCACAGATGGAAGGTAAATCTCGGTGTAGCTCCATGGTCTATTATGGTACAGGAAGCACCAATAGTGAGTATAAATGCCACTTGAACATGGCATGCTGAAGGATTGCATGGAATATCAAAGGGATTCAAGGGAAGAGAGCTGAATGTTTTGATTTTTCTGGAGGAGTATGGTGAGAATTGAGCTGAGTGTTTTGTTTTTTTCTGGAGGAGTATGGTGAGAATTCTACCAGAGGATCCTGAGCTATGGGACACTGACCTTATGAACTTAGAGATGCCTAGGTGACAAATGTAATAAAAGTTAGTGCTTCTGTGAGCTTCCACTTCATGATCTGTACTCTGCAGAAGAGGCCATCATTAAGCCAACAGCATCACAGACACTGAGGCAGAGATTGAGGAGCTTCTTTTATTCATGAATCTGGTATTTGCTACAGACTTGTATTTCATGAATTATGGTGCACACTTTTGTACTACCATTTAAAGCTCTGATAGTTTTTACCTGTGTGAGCATGAACTATGAATACAGAAAAGCAGCAAGATTCTGTCTCTGTTTTTGAAAGAATGGATTTTTCACTTTCTTCACTTCTTTGCATGAAATATTTTAGATCACATAGCCTGCAGACAGCTGTATAAATTTTGAAGAGTGAAGACACTAAACATACAATGCAAGTTCTTACTACTCTGTTGCTGAGGTAGGCTTATAGAATAATGTAAAAGAAGCCCCTGAACTGGTGTAATAAACTCTGCATTGTTTGCAGAAGTCAAGATGTTCTTTGTTGGCATTTCTTAATTTTTTAAAAATAAATCTAAGCTAAAAAAGAAAAAAGAAGGCAATTTCTGCATTGGAGTATATATAGAGAGGTTCACAAATGAGTGGCTCCTACTTCTCTTTAAAAATGAGAGTAATATAGTTAGTTTTGCAGTAAATGGGTGCTCAACTCAGTACTGAGAAATCAGCATGTTGCTTAGAAAAACAACTGCTTTAGGCTGTAAATCTGACATATGCTTGTACTTTCTGGCAAAATACATTCCTCAGATTTCATGGG